TGGTTTTGACCTATAAAGGACCATATCTCCTTCTATGAACCTGTTGGAGCCCTATGGTATTCTGGAAGATGCTCTTCTCTTTCTCCCATGGGTGTTCAGGTTCATTCTGTGGGAGCAAGGGAGAGGATTTTCTTGGTAGCTGCTCCCAGACTTTGGAGCTCCCTTGCTAGTGAGGCCATGATGCTTTTCTGCTTTTCTTTCAGCAGCAAGTAAAAAGACTTTTGTGCCATCAGGCTTTTTCAAACTGATGAGAGTTGGGCTTTTAAATGCTGTGCTATTCAGATTTTAAGGTTAGTATATAGTTTTAAAATATATTTTAATGTAATGTTTAATGTTTTTAATTTTTAAAACTGTTTAATTGTTTTTAAAACTTTACATTTATACTTTTAAATTCTTTTTTTTTTAATTTGCATTTTTTAAAATTTATTGTGAGCAGTCTGGAGTCCCTATATCAGGAAAAAGTGGGATATAAATAAAATAAATAATAATTATAATAATTGGACAACTCATAGTGTTTTCTTAAATGTGTTGTTTCTGACATAAATGGCAGCCTTTTGGAGGAGGCCATACTTTCATTGTTCTGTTTTATCTCATTTCTCTCTACCCTGAGTTTGAAATTGTCTCAATTTTAACCCCACAAATATCAAGTTTTATTTATGCAAAAGCTTATGAATCAGTTTCCTTCCCTCACTCTCTTCAGCTGACATGGGCTTGGCTGTCTTTTGAATTTGTAAAAGGTGTTTGTAAGAGCATGGATAGTTTCAGTGAGAACACTGATTTTGCAAATCTAAATTAATTTTGCTACATTTATATTCCACTTTACCTCCTAAGGTCAAGGTAGTATGCATGGCTCCTCTCCTTCACACTGTTATCCTTCCAGCTACCCCATGCAGTAGGTGAAGCTGAGAGACAAACTCATATGGACCCAACATGAAACAAGGCACTGACTCTGACAGTTTCTGAATGAATAACAAGGAGAAGCCCTACTTAGCTGCTGTATCTCTTGTAATTTAACCCCTCACTGAAGATCTTTCTTTCGTAGCCATGTCAGTAGTCAGTCTTTCATAATGGGGTAGGGCAGGAGCGGGAATCATGCAGTTGGGCCATATGCATCCCTCAAGGGTATTTCAAGGATATGTTTCCTGAAATTTGAAATGAGGAGTAGAAAAAGAGAAATTGTTTCTATTTAAAGCTATTATCATCCTTCTAAACAAGGTGCAATTCCTACCACAATTTTTAGAAAATTATTAAAAAGTTAACAAAAATAGAAGTGGAGTTCTAGCCATTTCCAAATTGTTTTCTCCCCCTCATTTTTGGGCTTTTGGGAGTGCTTACATTGCCCTGCCCTGCAGAATTGTCTGTTGCTATCTAGGAGCATCATATGCATCACTTCTCACAGCTTGGCTTTATGTGGCCTCTGGAATTCTATGCCACATGAAGTTGTGATAGCCAACAACTTTGACGGTGATGAGCCAAATCCCATTGATGACTCTAAAGCAAAAATAATGTCTCATTGCCATATGCTGGGGATTAAAAGCAGGAGTGTATTCTGTATGTACAGACTCTTCTCTGTAGATGAATGTAAACTGAAATAAGTAAATCATGTTAATGAGAGGAAAATGGATTCCACAACTACATGTTGGAGATAAAGAGCTTAGTAATCTAGTACATTTCACTTCTTTGCAAGCCACTCTGTATCCAGCTGGAATGCTTTTCAATAGCAGTTGTTGAATTTATTTATTTTTTTAAAGGTAGAAATAAGATTCCAGCTGACAAATTTTATCACAGGTACAACTGAGCACATCTATAATGACTACTAATGAAATACAGTATGTGCTAGTAGACTTTCATCTCCGACTCTAGTTTGTGAGCATATAGAATCATAGAGTTGGAAGAGACCACAAGGGCCATCCAATCCAGCCCCCTGCATGCAGGAATACACAATCAAAGCACCCCGACAGATAGCCATCCACCCTCTCTTTTAAAAACTTTCAAAGAAGGAGACTCCACTACACTCCAAGGGAGTGTGTTCCACTGTTGAACAGCTCTTACTTGTCAGGAGGTTCCTCCTAATGTTGAAGTGGAATCTCTTTTCCTGTAGTTAGAATCCATTGCTCTGGGTCCTATATTCTGAAGTTGCAGAAAATAAGCTTGTTCCATCCTCAATATGGTATCTCTTCAAATATATAAACAGGGTTATCATATGATCTCTTAACCTTCTCTTCTCAGGCTAAACATTCCCAGCCCCCCTATGTCACTTCTCATAGGGCATTGTTTCCAGATCTTTCACCATTTTGGTCACCTTCCTTTGGACACATTCTAGTTTGTCAACATCCTTTTTGAATTGTAGTGCTCAGAACTGTACACAATATTTATTACTGGTGATGCCTGACTAAAGCAGAATAAAGTGGCAATGTTACTTCCCATAGTCTAGACACTATACTACTATTGATGCAGCCTAGAATTGCATTGGCTCTTTAACTGCCACATCACACTGTTGACTCATGTTACACTTGTGGTCTACGAGGACTCCTATTTACATGTAGTCTTGTTAGCCAAGTGTCCCCCATCCTATATCTGTGCATTTCATTTTTTTCTGCCTAAGTGCAGTACCTTACATTTCTTCTTGCTAGAATTCATTTTGTTAGTTTTGGCCCAGCTTTCTAATCTTCTAAGGTCATTTTGAATTTTGATCCTGTCCTTGGGTATTAGCTACTCTTCCTAATTAGGTGTCATCTGCACATTTCATAAGTGTATTCTTTCATCCAAAACATTGATAAAAACTCTGTGGCACCTCCCGGGTCACTTCTCTCCAGGATGAAGAGGAGCCATTGCTGAGCACCCTTTGGGTTTGGCCGGTCAACCAATTACAATTAGCATTGTCTAGCCTGCCTTTTACTATTTTGTTTGCAAGGTGGGGGGACCTTATTGAAGGCCTTACTGAAATCCAGATATTCTACATCCACAGTATTGTATATAATAGATAATCTGGCATGAGTTGTTTTAGAGAAATCCATGTTACCTTTTTGTGATTATGGCATTCCTTTCTAAACGCTTACAGACTCTCTGTTTAATGATATGCTCTATATCACTTTACCTGTTGTCATAATAGAACAGCTCTTCGTTTTGAAGTGAATTAAATGTTGCCTATTCACATGGTATACACTCATTGGTAACTACTGTGGGAAATTATGGCCCATACACTTGAACTAGTTCTTGTCATTTTTCAGCCCAAATGAGGCAGCACCCACCCAGAACCAGTACTGGCAAAACCGTCTTTGAAGGAACAGATAATGGGCATCTATATTTGCGGTGGCTTTGTGCACTTGATGTGTTTTAGCCATGCTGCAGAAACATAGTTTCCAACTTTCTGGGTACAAGTGCTGAGCCATCTTTGTAGCTTCCTTGGCAGTGCACCCCACTGTTAGGATCAGCAGAGATTTACTGAAGTAACATTTGGAGTGGATATCTCTTCCCATTTTTCAGACACAGGAATGGGATTTAACAGAAACTAGTCTTGTTTGTCAAGCTGTAGTCTGAGTCAGTCTTTAGAGAAAGATTGTTAGATGCAGAGCAACAGATTTTGAAGGTTCATCTTTCCAGGGGATGCTTGAATGAACATGACCATGGCGAGGTTTGGAGGACTCTCCCTACAGAAGAAGGATTTGTTTTTTGTTTTTACTTTATATTTGTCATGTTTGAATATGGTCTTTCTAAATGTTACCTCCTACAAGAAAGTTGCAGTTTTTAACATTGTCATAGTTCCTTTATGATGGGGGGGGAAACATTTCCCCATTACCAACTTAATTTAATAGTTTTTATAGCTGTTGGGTGGGGAGATATCATGAATACATTTCACTTTTCTTTGTCAGGCTTTGGACTATATTACCCTTGGGAATCTCTCTTGTGCCTCCCATATCCTTGAGGAGATACACCTCAGTTAGAGACTCTGTTTAGTTAGCCTCAGGGAACTAGAGTAACTATCATGGTACAGTCTGGGTAGAATTAGTTGCTTAGGGGCCCAGTTCTTCTACCATCAGCTATCAGGTGAGGCTAGAAACCATCAACTAAAAGACCATGAGGCTTCTCTGCAATTTGCTGCATCATTAACCACCAATAAAGCTTATCATGCAACAGTAATGTGCATCAGTTTTCAGTACCAAACAAAGTCGTGGGGAAACCTAGGACTACAGCCACTTGTAACCCAGAACACAAGCCTCCTCAAAATGAGGCAGGAGGTCATTTAAATATCCTACTCATAAGTGACTTAAGGTTAAAACTGACACTCTGAATTAAGCCTGGAAACATCTGGCAACCAATGAAGATCAAGACAGAAGTAATACGGTATCATATGCTGATCAGTAGCCTGGGTTCTGAGTTTTGTAGCAGTTAAAGCTTCTAGGTACTCTTCAAAGATAGAACCACATAGAGCACATGGCAGTAGTCTACATGTAGTATGACTAAGAAATTGATAAGTTTAACCAAATCAGAATAATTCAGGGAATATGGAACCTGGCAATTTAAGGGTTCCATGTGTAGTTGAACAGTCTGAAGAATCTGAGCGAAACTGAACTGGCTTTATTAAAGCTAGTATGCTATCTCAGAGTGGTTTTGCTTCTCCTTAGTGCAGTTTAAAAAGCTTTGGAAATGGGGGAGCATGGCTGAGAATACAACATCCTGTCCTTTTTAAAAAGCCTTTCATATGCACTATAGACTCCTAGTCTATGCATCCAAGCTCAGCACTCTAACCACTCTATATACTGCCGCTTTCCCAAAGCTGATATTAGTTTCAGGAGGTAAGCTTGCACCAGTATCATTGAAAGCTTCTTTGAAGATAATGCCAACTTGGGTGAGGGCAGCTTCTCATCAGGATCATGGTATATCAAGAAAGGATGTTGTAGTCCCAATTCTACTTGCTACCACTCAACCACCATCCTGCTTTTTAAAGGGAAGGAACGCACTTCAAAATGTCTTTACCTGTGTCTGTACTTTGGTTGAGAGCCAGTATGGCGAAATGGTTTAAGCACTGAACTACGATTCTGGAGACCAGGATTCAATTCCCTGCTCAGCCATGAAACCCACTGGGTGACCTTAGGCAAGTCACATATTTTCAGCCTCAGAGGAAGGCAATGGCAAACCTCCTCTGATCAAATCTTGACAAGAAAACCCCATGATAGGTTTGCCTTATAGTCACCATATGATGGTCAAGAAATGACTTGAAGGCATGCAACAGCAAGAACCTGAAGTACTTTGGTTATCTGTCTGCTATCATAATACAAATTAAGCACTGTTCTCTCTCTCTTCTATTAGCATTACTTTATGAAGATAAACCTTCATGGGTTTGTACCATATTAAATCATTGTAGCTATTTGGATTGCATTCAGAAGCATGCAAGGCTACAGGGATGAGGTGATTCTCCTTGTTCCAAGTTGGCAAACCTATGGCATGCGTGCCAGAGATGGCATGTGAAACCATTTTCCCTGGCATGAGGAGTGGGGAAGAGGAGGAAAAGGTGCACGCCTGTTCTTCTTCCTCCCGGAGAGGGAGCTGAAAGCCCAGGAAGGTGCAGGAGGAAGAAGTCTGACCTGGAAGTCCTGCCCCCATAGAGTGAAAGTCCCACTCCAGAAGTCCCGTTCCCCCCAGAAGTCCCGTATCTGGCACAGGGTAACACCCAGTGCCATTTAGTTTGGGCACTCGATGCCTAAAAGGTTTACCATCTCTGTCCTAGTTTCTTTCAACATTTAAGATTTATGCAATGTATTGCCATTGTCCCTTTTAAGTTGAAATTTCAAATTGCACTGTTCTGGAGTGAGCAAGACAATTTGTCAACAGAATGCTGAATGCCAGATGGATTTTAAAGGCACAAGGAAAGAAAAAAGATGCTCTGTTTCGGGAATTCAGCCTGACTTTCAATCAAATAAATGATCTGAGATGCCGAGCACAAACTGCATTTCATTTACAAATGCTGCTAGCATGTTCTTGATTGAACACTTTGAACCTGATCAGAATATGATTTCCTTTTGTATAATGAGAATCACTTATATTAACACCTTCTGGAGATCGATAGGAGATTTTAATGCATACTAATAAAGATCTCCCAGTATAACATCTCTTAATTTCCATGAGAACTGCCTTATTTTCATGCTTAACCAAATAATTTTCATTTAACATGGAACTGTGCTGTCCTCCCCCCCCCCCCCCCCATGTTTGATGGTCCAAGATTGTGCTCAAAAATTTCTGGGGGGACGGGACCAAAACAAAATTTATGCTAATGTGTTTTTTCACAGTTGTGGGTGTAATAAATGAGTGTTAGGCAAAATTCTGGCTAACGGTAGTGTCTTCCTTGAACTGCTCTTCTATTTTATTGTTCTTCTGGGTTCTGCAACCACAGGGTTTCTCTTAAATGATGATTAAATTTGTTGGTCTGTATAAGATACCTCTATATTTTGTTATGGTACCATTAGTACACTCTGGCCTAATACTCTTAAGGGAATAGAACCCATCTGATCTTGGAATCTAAGTAGGGTCAGCTCTGGCTAGTACTTGGATGTCATCAAGTACTACCAGGTGCTGTAGACTATATTACAGAGAAAGGAACTAGCAAAACCATCTCGTGCCTAAAAATACCCTATGAAATACATGGGATGCCCATAAGTCAATAGTTGACTTAAAGGCACATACACACACTATTAGTACAATTTTTTTCTTTATCTAGGATGAAATCCATTTGATTTCTTTGAAAATGTATTAAAAAGAGATCTTTGAAATGCTGCCAGCTTCCTACAAGGGCAGAGCTTCTGGGTGGAATGTTGGGCAATATGTTGTTGGACTTATATTTCAGTGGTATGCATTAGAGAAAACAAGAAGATCCTTGCTGGGTTCAACCAAAATGGTCCTGAAATCCAACATTCTCTTCCCACAGTGATCAGGTAGGTGACTACGGAAAGCCTGCAAGTAGCACCCCCTTCTACATGTAGCATCTCACATACACACAAACGCACGCACACACACAGTCTGGTCAGGCTGTAACCCCTTTTATCTCTAGTCAGCATAGCCAGTGGTGAAAGATCATAGGAATGCTGTCCCACAATATCAGGAGAACCACCTGTTTCCCATTCTTCATCTGCTAACTAGACTAATATGTTGTTATAAACTTTACAATTAATTTCTGTTGTTGGGCTGTATACAAATTGAAATTAAGAAGTGACATGACTTTGGCACCTAAAGACTGTGGGAAAAGCATGCTACTTAAATCATGCAGTCATTTCATTATTGGTTTTCATTTAAACAATAGTCCATGTGGCTCCCCCTTCCTTTTTCCTTCCTAATGCCAAAGAACCACAAGCTGGTGAACAAACAAACCTTGTAATGCATACTTCAGGGCTAAAATCTTACCGTCTTTATTCTTTTGTTACTATGGTTACAATCCTAAAGAACCCCTCTATATGCCATTAAAAGAGTGCAAAAAGAAGTGTGCATATTAAACCAAAGCCAAATAAGAACAGATAGGGAAAGATTGAGTGAGAATGAGAACGAGAGAACAGTAAGTTACACAAATACAATGCACGAATGAGTGACTTTAGGGAAGTTATTATTTCATATGTTACAGTGATGAATGAGTTGAAACACTTGGGCTGCATCTTATTTTTGTACCTGCAGGCTGTTTTTATGTGCTGTGCCAGGCTTCCATCTGGAAAATGATAGAAGGCAATTGTCCTAAACATTTTTCAAAATGAAACAGTAGCATCACTTTGATACTACTAGTTTTTGAGCATTGCCTGTCCATAAAACAGCTGCTGAAGTGTAAAGGCCAGAGGAGATGATGGTAGGAAAAGGCACACTAACCTTTCTATTGAGCTACTGAATAGATGGCTTTCTCTCCTTTGCTATGAATGGACCTTGAAAAGTTTCTGTGGGTAGACTATGGTGGTTGATTAGGCTCTAAACCAGGGGTAGGCAACCTTTACCCTTTAAGGACCGAGGGACTTCAGCTCCCAGAAGCCTCAGCCATGCTGGCCAATAGTCCCATGTTGGCCAATAGTTCCTGGGATTCTGGGAGCTGAAGTCCCTCGGGCCTTAAAGGGGAAAGGTTGCCTACCCCTGCTCTAAACCAAATTGTAAGTCCCACTAGAATAGACCTATTGAATCAAAGAAATCTACATAAGTGTTGACTTACCAAGTTCTCATTGATTTAATGGGATGGGGAAGCTCCAAACTGGTTGCCAAGACTAGACCAGGTGCTGATTGTGGCACAGATCACAAACTACTCATTTCAAAAATAAAAATAAAACTCAAGAAGAGAACAAAACCAGTCATACCAAAATACAATTTAAACAACATTTCCACAGAATTCACCAGGAGCCCTGGTGGCGCAGTGGTTAAATGCCTGTACTGCAGCTACTCATTCATAAATCACAAGGTTGCGAGTTCAATACTAGCCAGGGCTCAGGCGTGACTCAGGCCTGCATCCTTCTGAGGTGGCTAAAATGAGTACCCATTGGGAGGCAATGAACTTACAGTTGTAAACCGCTTAGACACTCTATAGTGTGGTATGAAACGGTATATAAATGAAGTTGCTTTGCTTTGCTTTGCTTTGTTAATATAAGGAACAGATTTGCAGTTCTAAGTATAATAGATGATGAACTGGAAGAGCTTTGGTCTGAAGCCAAGGACATAATAGAAGAAGAATGCATAAAGATTCTTGCAACAGACAAAAGGAAAGTGAAGAAACCATGGATGAGAGATAAAACACTACAAGCAATAAAGGAATGAAAAGAAACAAAAAGGAGATAGGAATAAACTAAGAATCATGAACGCAACAGTACAAGGGCTAGTGGGCAAAGGTAAGGAAAATTATTACAAAGACAAATGTAGAGAAATAGAAGACAACAGCAAAAAGGGAAGAATGAGA